GAGGAGGGTTCACAGTCTGCAGGCAGCACTCCGGCAACTGGCCCTGAGGGGATTTGCGTGGTGGTCCCCTGCACCTGCCACTCAGCACTCACCAGTGCTAAGCATGGCCACAGCCAGTCATTGCAATTCCCTTGGGGGTGCCACCAAACAACAGCCTTAGAGGTCCAGGGACTGCTCAGGGCCACCCAGGGGGCTCAAAGTTGGGGACAGGTCTGCAGTTCACATGCTCTGGCTCCCAATCTCCACCTGTGCCGTGGAGGGCACTCCAGATTGAGTCAGGAAGGGAGGAGGCTGAGCAGGTGCCAGGATGACACCCCAGGACATACACCTGCCATACTTTCTAATTCCTCAGGACCAGTTCTCAGAATCAGAACTGCTGGGCAGGTGGGTACATTCTGTCTCTGATGACCACTCTGGGTTTGGCTAGTTCTCTTTCCTTCTGCTAATCTGGCTTCATGTATTCTAAAGCCCTGGTGTTAGGTGCACAGTGTTTTTTTTATTTAGGGTTTCTATGTCTTCCTGGGAGTGGTCCCATTATTATGCAAAACATCCCCTTTGTTAATCATAATACCTCATCTCAGCTTACTTTGTTTGATATTAACACAACACTCCAGCTTTCTTACAATTGGCAGGTATATCCTTTTCCATTTTCTAATTGTCAATCAACTTGTGCCTTAATAATTAAGGAGGTGATGGCTTTTGTAAATAGCATACAGAAGGATTTGGGGGTTTTGCTTTTTTTTTTTTTTTTTTTTTTAATTCACATTTACAGACTTTAGAAGTCATTTGATGCATTTCACCAAATATGTCCTCCCAAGAAGTCACAGTGGTCCACCTCCCGTAGCAGTGGTCACAATGACTGCCCTGTCCCTGCCCGAGTGCTCCTACCCTCTCCCAGCCCTGGAGTCCCTGCATCTGCCCCTGGGGGTGGCAGTGGTAATGAAAGGATGACATGATGGCCAGTGGCTCAGGCAGGGCAGTCTCTCCCTCCTCCCAGTTGCTGCCCCAGGGTTCACAGCCACCTTGCTGGAGCACCCAGCTTGGATCCTGCCTGGTATCACTAGACCTCTCCAGGCCAGTCATGATGTGGGAAGGAAGGAACTGCAGCCATTTCTCCCAGGACCACCTTCCCCATCTCTGGAGCCAGGCAAGGGCAAATGGTAGCAGGACTGGCCCCCTTAGCAGGGTTCCTGGAGTAGCCCACCCGGCACACAGCCAGACCCCTGCCTACAGCAGCGGGTACAGTACCAGGCAGATTGACTTTGGTGCCAAGCTGCTTCAAGTCCAGCCCTGGCTTTTATGCTGCAAGGTCTTGAGCTATTTGCACCCTCTGTGCCAGAGTTTTCTCATCTATAAAATAAGGATGATGTTAGTAACAGCAGCAGCTACCCTATAGGTTGTGTGAGACTTCTAACAAGTGAATGTTTGTGAAAGGCGTGGCACGATGGCTAGCACTATCGTCTGACTGTTGGTGCTATTCCCTCCATCTGCCTACTCCCTGCCAGTGTGAGGCAGAGCACACACCATCATTCACACTGCCCAGGCACAGGCACACATGCCTGCTCAACAGACCTGCCCCAAACAGTGCCACTAACGTGCCTGCTCCGCCCTCCACATAGGTGGGGCATGTGGCCGCTGCCCACTCGGTTCAGCCATGGGAGGCGCTGAGAAGGCTGGAGGATAGAATGGGGACACAGGGTCTTCCTACCTTCTCCACACTGTGGCCACTGTGTCTCTTCTGTGGCTCCAGCTCCCCTGAGGGAGTGGTCTCAGCTCCCACCAGGTGATCCTGCCTCTTTGCCCCTGCAGGCCTGGGAGACATGCTTATGCACCCCCCCCTCCCGGACATTCACACCAATACACACGTGTTCATACATGCTTCCTGCACAGACCCAGGGAGAGGAGTGCATATGTCATGTGCATAGCCAGGAGCTCATCCCCCATCCAATCCAAAGCCCCCAGAAAGAAATTAGGTAGAGAAACTCAGACAAATATTCAAACATACTCTGCTCCTTCAGGGGTACGAGGGTTTGGGGAGCAGAACCTACTGACAAGAGAGCCCAGAACTGGCCTCTGTCCATAGGTGAGGGCTGTGGAGACTCACAGAAGAGCCGCCAGCATCTACCCGCGAGTATGCCTGGGGGCAGAGGGGCAGAGGGGCAGAGAGGTGGGTGTCTGGGCTGGACCTCTACGGACAGGTAGAAGCTCATCAGGTGAGGTGGTAAATGTTCCACTTCCAACTGGAGTTCCTGAAATCTTCCCCTCCCAACCTCTCTCCCGGGCACAGGCACATGGGGTTCGTCTCCTGCCCCTACAGGACCCTGTGGCACTGCAGCCAGGCCGGGGGCAGCTCCTGGGTGGCCTGAGATGGGTCAGTGGAAGCCAGAATGCTCCTTGCTGGGCAGGAGTCAAGTCTGCCAGTGCAGGAAGACAGGCAGACGCTACGTGCCAGCCAGCTGTCTCAGTCCCTCCCAGGACAGCACTCTCTTCTGCTATAGTGACAGGTATGGATCCCAAAAGAGAAGTCACCAGCCCAGGTAACTGCAGGCATGGCTGAGCTGGGTGCACAGCAGCCGCTCTCTGGCTCCATGCCCTGGCTCTGCATGTGCCTGCTGCCTCTACTTTGCCAGCCTCTCCCGTGCAGGTGATGGTGAGGGTGGGGGACATGAGTCACTGCCTGAGGGCTGAGGGAGGGGTGTCCTCCAGAAAAGTTGAGAAACCATTTCTAAAAGATAGGTGAATGCTGAGTGGGCCACAGGTGTTCTCAAAAAATCCTGACATTATTTTAGCTGTTCTGCAGATGAGGAAACTGAGGGTTATGCCTAGGGGACTTGCTGACCCTTCGTGGCAGCTGAGTTGGGTTGTATAGCAGGCCTCTGGCCCACTGCAACCACACTCTTTATGCACACCATGCCCCTTGCCTGAGCCCCTGTGTGAATGTGTTAAGGCAGCATCTCCACCTAGAAAGGGCAGGTGCGGGAAGCACTGAAGCTGCTGATGGTCCTCAATCTCCTTCACCCAACAGGCCTGTGATAACTCCCTCCTAGTACCAAAGACTGCAAAGGGGGCATCCCAGTCTCTCCTCCTGGCCGCTGCTGTGAGTAGCTTGCAGGCTGTACACTGCCATACTGCCTGTGTCAGGAGGGGTCAGGGGCTCCATGGCAGGCTTGACCCTTGAGAAATGCTAAAAGGAGAGCAGACGGTCCTGGCACATGGTGTAGGGGAGGGCAGGAGCCTGAAGGAAGCAGGCCCTTGCCCCACAAAATGGGGGTTGTTTTACACCAGGAGGTCTGTCACTCAGACAGAGCAAGCTGGACAGGCCCATGTGGTCTCTGACCCACTGGTATACACACCCAGCAGACTCTGCTTCCCACCTGGGGCCCCTGCCCCCACTGGTGCTTGAAGATAAGGATGGACATCTGAACGTTACTCCTGTAAGGTGTGAAGCTAACGAGACCCTGGAAGATAAGGCTTCTCAGAAGGGCCTCAGCACTTTCCCGCTTTGATATCACCAAAAAGGTCTCTAAGTAAGGTGACCTGTGACCCCGTGGGTTAGGTGCAGAGTTCCCTGAAGGGCTCAGCCCAGGTGCCTGGGGCACTCCAGCATGTGCACTCTGAGAGGCTAACCTGGAACTACTTTTTTTTTTTTTTTTTTTTTTGAGACGGAGCCTCAAGCTGTCCCCCTGGGTAGAGTGCCATGGTACCACACTCACAGCAACCTCCAACTCCTGGGCTCAAGCGAGTCTCCTGCCTCAGCCTCCCAAGTAGCTGGGACTACAGGCGCCCGCCACAACGCCTGGCCATTTTTTTTTTTTTGGTTGCAGCCATCATTGTTGTTTGGCAGGCCCGGGCCGGGGATACGAACCCGCCACCTTAGGTGTATGTGGCTGGCGCCTTAGCCGCTTGAGCCACAGGCGCCGAGCCTAACCTGGAACTTCTAAAGCAATGGTTCTCAACCTTCCTGATGCCCTGATATATTTTCACTGTTACAAAGGGGTTGCGACTCACAGGTCGAGAACTGCTGTTAAAGAGATGGAGCCCACAGACCTGTTCTCCTCCTAGCCAGCGTGCAGTTTGGCTGAATAAAACTGCTGCCTGAATTATGAATTCTGAATTATGAAAACTGAATTATGCCGCCTGCCCAGACAACAGGACACTCCCAAGCCTCAGCCCTCCCTGGAGTTCTGAGTGTGAGAATTTGGGTTGAGCAGAGCCATTTCTGCTACAAAGGCTGACTGAAGACTGCACGCTTTCAGCTCCAGATGGCTTGGGAACCACCCAAAGGAACCTTAACAGGAAACCCAAGGTCACCAGCAGAGCTGTTAGAGGATCCCAAGCTCCACCCCAAACTCTTGCTGCAGGGTGCAGTGAGGTCAGGGATGCGGCCAAAGGTCACAAACTGGAAGGGCAACATTTGGACCCCAACTAGCAGAGCACATCTCACCCTGGGTGTCGTCTGCCCTTCTCAATCCTTGCCCTGCTCGTTTTGGTCAGCAGATCACCAGCCCCCAGGTCAGAGAGTCCTGCCACTAGCAGCCTGCAGTGGCAGTATGCCTTCCACTGACTGCAGCACTGTCGGGCACGCAGCCCTCCTTACTCATGCCACTGCCCACCTGAGATCTGACAGTGTCCCACTGGGACAGCCCACCTGGCTCTGCTGTCTCTGCAACTTTGTCACCTGTCTTGCCCCTACATCTGATCGGCTCTACCCAGCCTCTGGCCTGCCCTCAATCCTCTTCAGGAAGCTGCTGTCCTTCCTCTGCTGCCCCTCAGCCCTCCCCACCCTGCTCTAGGCGGCCTTGCTGCTGCGCTGCTTTATGGCCCTCATGCCATCTCCTTGCGAGGCAGGGCACTCCCTGAGGGGAGCAGCCTCTCTCATTCGGCTCTGCTTCACCAGCGCCCAGCAGAGCAGGCAGTAATGATTGTTTGCTAGCGAGTAAACGACTGGAAACAGAGACATCTGCTTTATTTGTCTCCGGACAGTGGCACATACTGTTTCCCAAGTGCACGGCAGCTCCAACTCAGAGGCATAGTAGGTGCCCAGCAGGAGATGGCAGGGCACAGGGGCCTAGGCCTCTGTGGACTGTGGCCCCATGATTGGTCCTTTCTTCAGGGCTCCAAGCACTGCCAGGGCCAGGCATGGTGGCTGCTCCTCAGCCCTGCAAAGAGAACAGGCCAGAGCTCAGTCAAGGTCCCTTCTGCCCAGGGACCCATAGCCGCTGGGCTCTGAGAGCTCTTGACAGACGGCCCTGCAGCCGCTTCACTGTGGCACTAACCACGTGGCTTCCCTTCTTACCACAGGCACCAGTGCACAGCAGGGGACAGGCCCTCACTCAATACATCTGACACCATTGAACACCAACCACCCTCTCCACTCCTCAGAGCCTACGATGACATGTTGGACACAAAACTTGGGGGCAAAACAGGCGCAGCCCAGTCTAGTCTGCTTTGCCCAGGTCTCCCTCTCGTCTCTTATTTAACAACTTGGAATTTTCTGGCTCAGAGAGAGGCCAATGGTATGGACATCAAAGCCAGATCCCTGCTATGACATTCACACACAGGCCTACATCTCTGGGTCTAGGCCTCTCCTGAGGAGAAGCAGTGCTGCCCCACCCCCAACCCCCGACCACACAGGCCTTTGACCAGGCCACCCAGACCCTTCTGGAAGCAAATCTCTCCTAGGCATCCTTCCTTCCACCCTCCCGGGCTCTGCTAGGAGCTTTCTGAGGGGAAGGGTGGCAGAAGGTGGCATGAATTCCTTTGGCACTGGCCGCATCTCATGCACAGGGTGCCACTTGAGTGTCTGGGCAGGAGACTCTGAGGGAGCCAGATACAGACTGTAGACACAGCACAGGGGGCAGGGGGCTGGCCTCTGCTGTTGCCAGTTGCTCAGTCTCCAATTTCCTCTTTAATAATGTCGGGGGAGGGCTGGGAAGGAGTCAGCTGGGCCTGGCAGTGTCCCAGAGCCTCACTCGGTGCTGGGGCTGCAGAGAACACACTGGATCTAATGCAATCTGTTGTCCCTTGTAATCACATTTTTGCCTTGGTGCAATGAAGGCACATGGAGGAGACGTGTGGGTAAGATGTGTTCTTGCTGGGGGTGGGGAGGTGGTGCTAGGTGGAAAGGACAGAGTCCAGGGCTATAGGCCTGAGGATGGGCTCTGTGAAATTAGGATGTTAGAATCAGCTCAGTCCTCAGGTTGGGGAGAGGACTTGGGGGCACACCTTCAGCTGCTCTAGGTGTAGAGGGCTGACATGGTGTGGTCTAGCCCAGTTTGCCAGCTCCCAGCTCCTCCTGCCCAGGCCTGCAGGGATGCATAGTGCCCTTCCTGCTCAGCGGGAAATAGCAAGCTGCTTTCTGAGCTCCATGTTCCTGCCCAAGGTGTTACCCTCATACCTGCCCCAATGTGGAGCTGCCACTGGGCTCTGGTTGTGAAGGGATAGTGGGGACAGGGCAGGGTGGCCTGCCATTCAGACAGGAATGAAAGGGGCAGAGCTGTGGCCTGAGGATGCTCTCACAAAGAGGTCTGGGCTTCAGGACCTTGTGCGGTTCAGTGGGGGAGAGAGACTGCCCTTGGACATGGCCTGCAGCACAGGGCATCCAACCTCAGCTTTTCTAACCATGAGCACCCAAAGCACTTTATCTCCTCATCTGGCAAGTGGGAAAGAAGGCCTGTCCCACCACCTTCTCCATGTTTTAACAAACGTGCCGACTCTGGTGAAGTCCAAGCTGGGAGCCTCCAGAGGTAATGATGCTCCCCTAGGCAGGAAGTGATGTGCCGGGTGGGAGAGGGGCCAGGCACACCTGGAGCAGCCTCAACTGCCTCAGAAGACACTGCTGGGGCTGGGAAGAGAGGACTGGGGTGGGGGAAGTGGGGGGAGGAGGTGAGAGGAGATGAGTAGTCCCAGCTGGAGAAAGTGGACTGGGCCCGGCTTTGCTAGTTGGGGGACTGGTGAGCACCTGCACGCTGAGCTGGGAACCCCACAGGGAGGCCAGGCAGGCCTCTTAGGTGCCAGGTGCCGGGCTGGGGGCAGGAGCTCTGGATGGCTATACTTACTCCCGCCCCTCCTCCAGCCGTCTCATCCTTGCATGACTCCCGCCTGTACTGTGGCCCTCCTGCATGGAGGGCATGTGTATGCTCTTGGTAGGGGCCGGCCCCTTGAAGGTGGGACATGTCTTCACCTGGTGCTACTCCTGGCCCAGCCCAGGAAGGCGAAGCTAACAGGAACCACCTCTTCCTTGTCTAGATACTGAGGAGGGCAGCAGGTGGAAGGCAACCTTGAAGACCCAAGCCTCAGACTCCCTTCCCCTCAAGTTCAGAGACCTCTAGCAGGGATGGCACAGCAATCTTTGCTCCCACAGGTGCCCACGCTCTGGAGCTTACCTTGCGGGCAGCACTCACACAGTGCTGGTATGCCTTGACCAGGTCTGAGCACAGCAGTACCTCATGCAGGTGGTCTCGGTAGCAGCGGAGGATCTGGGCCTGTAGGCCCGAGCACACTGGCTCCACCTTGCGCGGCCTGCGGGAAGAAAGGGCTTGGTACTCAGGTCACACTCACCCAACACTGACCTGGCAGATGCTGAGCTAAGCACCTGACCTCCACTGGCATCCCTTTAACTCTCCAAGAAAAGCGCCGTGTTTCCCATTCTAGGAATGAGAGGCTCACGGGAGTCAAGTTGAAGCTGGTGGCTCAGGACCACACAGCAGCGGACGCTGAGCATTCGGGCTGCAGGTCTGGGGCTCCACACCGGGCTCCTTCCCTGTATCCCATGAGAAGAGCCTGGTGGTTGGGCCCCAGAGGGAGGACCCCCATGAGGACAGACACCCCTGGGGCACCCTCACCCGTGGCCCTCACAGCTGTGTGCAGGTCAACTGCTTCCCAGGCCTCTTCTGTGCCTGTGGTTTACCCATGACTATAATCATGTGATTTACACACATTCACACAAGTTTTTCTCCTGATTTTAAAACTAATACTTACATAACAAGGAAAACTAAAAATCTACAGAAATATCTAAAAAATAAATAAAATATTTTCTGCATCTCACTTCTTAGAGATAATCTCGGTAATCTTTCAGGGCACTTTACTACATTTTTTCCCCCTTTATCAAAGTAGTTTTAGAATCAACAAAAAATGAGTATGTTTAAAATGTGCAACAAAAACAAATGACACAAAAAGTGAAATATGTGTTATGTTAGGTTTGATCACCAGACCAGCTTCCTTGGGGAAATTTCTGATTGGTTTGCCTCTTTCCAGGTTTTCTGGCCACACCCCCCACATACACACCAAACACGTGAGCCCGCGCACGCACACGCACACACACACCCCTGCTCTCACAGACACACACTTGCACATATACCCACTCACACCCTGACACACACAGCTGCTGACACACCCTGGTGCAGATACACACCACTCACACCCTGGCACACTCACACACACCTTGCACCCATACCTTGGCACACTTACATACACATACCTGCTCACACTCACACTCTGGCACATACACTCACTCATGCTCACACCCTGGCACAGTCACACACACCACACACCCTATGACACACACTCTGACCCCACAAACTGTGACACACGCCTGCGTGTGCAGGCACTTGCCGACACCCTCCTAGCTCTCCTTGTAGCAGCTCCCTTTTTCTTACAAATGAGGAAACTACAGCACAGAGAAATGAAGGCTGCACAGCTGGGCAGTGAGAGGCAGGTTTGCTGACTGGCACGATTTTGGTTGTACTGTTTCTACTGGTTTGTTTTCTGGCGAGTTTTGAAGCCATGCTCACACACCACCCTTCTTGGTCGCAGACTGCTTGCAACACCTGACAGTTATCAGAATTCAACCCTGCTCGCAGCTGAGGGCATCAGAGGGCGCTATTAAAATGCAGAAAACCACTGTAGCAGTAAAAGTCATCTTTATGCCAGCTCTACCAGGCACAGAAGGAGGCCTGTGGGCCATATCCTCCCGCCCATGGCCTCTCTGCTTGTGGCACGCAGCCGTGCGGTAGGTGCTGCACCGGGCAGCACCATTTCTACTCTAAGCAACCTACACAAGTGGAGTTCAGCAGCTAAGGCAGCAGGCAACACAGCGGCAGCTCAGGACGCAAGACCCTGTTATACCTGGTCACTCCAGAAGTCTGGAGGTTGGCACTTTCTATACTGCTGACCCAGCTCAGTGATATTACCCAGGCCTGGGGTTCCCCTTCTCCTCCTGTGCCATCCCTAGACCACCATCTGCAGGCACCATCCCCTCCACAGGAGAGCAGGAAGGAATAGGCCAGTCTGTAGTCTCATTTTGTGAGGTAGAAGAATCTAACCCTAAAACCTCACTCCCAGCTTCCTTCTTTACCCACTGGCCAAGACAGGGTCAAAAGCCCACCCCAAAACCATCACCAACGAGAAGAGTGAGATTACCGTGTTTAGCTAAGACCAGTACACAACTCATCCCCAGGGCATGAACTAAATACAGTCTGGAGCAGTGTTTTCAACCTTTTATATCTCACGGCACACTTGAACTTATAGTTAAACTGCCATGGCACGTTTAAATTATGTTGATCAAAAAAAAAAAAGTAAAAAAAAAATACTATACTTTGAAGTTCTTTTGTTCAGAAATAATCAATAATCTTTTAAAAATTTTTGCAGCACACCTAAGATCCTAGCATACCTGTTGAAAATCACTAGTCTCGATGGTTTATAACCAAGGTCAGGGAGGAAGGATGTGGGTACAGGGCAGCTGCCCAGTGCTGCCATGTAGCCATGAGGGAAAAGGGTGTGACAGGAGAGAGGGCCTTCCCGTTTCCAGGGAGGCCACACTGGCCCAACCTTGGCCTGGTCCATTAATCTCATTCTGCTTTGGCTCCGGAGGTCACAGATATGATTCACGTCTGGGCTGCACAGACCAAGGCTTTTCTCCACTCTAACCTCCCACCCTCGGATGCAGCCCTTTCCTCCCAGGCCTTTGCAGCACCCTCCACTGGCTTCCTTCCCACCTGGGCTGCAGAGGCAGCTGAGGCACTGTGGGGCAGACCCCAGGGCCTCTCTGAAGGCTTATGAATGGCTCCACTTCTGTATTTAAGAACTTTCTGATGTGGATATGTCTAGTTGTAGGCCTTTTAAAGTTGCTTTTTCCTTAGGGGACAGCTGCACTTGGCAGCATTTCATCTCAGACAAGTCTTCTCTGAGACTGTGGACTGCCTAGGTACCAGCTCTTCTGATGAGCCTTTCAGGATCTTTAAGGCACAGTTTAGACCTGGACCTACTGCCTTCCATCCATTCCAACTACATCCCCTCTTTGCTCCAGGGGTGTCTGACCTTTTAGATTATCTGGGCCACACTGGAAGAAAATCAGTCATCTTGGGCCACACATTAAATACATAAACACTAACGAAAACTGATGAGCAAAAAAAAATTCTGTGCGTAATTTTTGTGATTATCTGCCACCACAGATAAGTAAAAAAGTCTTCACTTAATCTGTATGCACCCCACAGGCTGTGGGTTGGTCACTCCTGCCAGACTCTCCATCCTTGCAAGGTGTGGCATGCCATCTTTTCCCCTTGCAGGGTAAATCCTGCAGGTTAATCCTAATGCCTTAGGGGCACTGCCAGCCCTCCTGGGTTCTTTCCTCTTGCCCATGTTGCAGTCTCTTCCTACCAGCTTCTTGTCTTCCATCCTTCCCAACCATGCTGCCCCTCTGGAGTCAGGCTCCCAGGCAGGCACAGGTTCTAATGCACCCCCTGCTCTACTCCTTTGAAGCAGTGCCCCAACCCTACCACTGTGGGGCCCTGGTGACCCTGTCCCCGGGCTGCACTATGCTGGCCAGTGGGCATGCATCAGATCTCTGTGTTGGGGCAACATTCCAGGTTTAATAAAACAGAGCTGTCATGAGCTATAACTTTCTGTGGGGCGCACTGACCCACGTGCAAAGAAGAGCCTTGGACAAGACAGGCGCAGGCACAGTGTCCCAGCCTCAGTCATGTGACCAATTACCCTGGAGCAAGAGCTCAGTCAGCTGACCTTGCCCTGTGCAGACACACAACACAGAAACTGACACTTTGTAGACCATAAAGGAACACACAGGGCTCTGTCCCCTCCTCACAGGTTCTCCTACAGCTGCAGGTCCCTGAACACAGGCCCCTGTGCATTTGTGACAAACCTCACAGAATCCCCAGTGGACACCAGCTCAGGAGAAACTGGGCCTTGGGGAAACCTATCCCTCTACCCCAGTATCACCGCCAGGTTGATATTGGAGTCTCCTTCCTCTGAAATTTATCAGGGATAATACCAGGGGACAGAATGGTAGGCAAATGTCAACAGGAAGAAATTTCACTCACTTGTCCACAAAAAGGCTATAAATGGGATAAGGCAGGGAAAGCACAGCTCTTGAAATGAGAAGGTTCTCTGAAGCCAGGCAGGGCTAGGCCTACAGTCAAACTATTCTATCCAAGCTCATCCCGGCCCTGCCTCTACCCACTGCCCTGTTTACAACACGCACAACAGCTCCTGTTTTTTAGAAACACTGCCTTGCAAACATCTGCTCTTCAAATGGACAAACAGAGGTACCTAAAGCACCATGCGAACTTTCCAGATGGAGAAATAAGTCCTGTACCCCACCTAAGAAATGTCCACTGCACTGAGGATGGCTTCTGAGTATGCAGATATAAGGGTCTATGTGTCTTTGAAGGGTTTCATGCACCCACATCAGTGTATGGGCTCTCTGGTCTCAGCCTTGAAGGCAAAGTCAAAGTCATTTCATCTCATTGACCCTCATTTTCCTCATCTGTACAATGGGAACAATGGCCAGATGTGAGAGTGCATGTTAGGAATTGCCTCTCCCATGAGCAAGCTAGTTGGCAATGGAGTCAACTAATGGGGGGCTGAACTCAGGGCATCGTGGGGTCTACTCTGTGGTCAGCAGGGCCCCACCTTGCAGAGCTGTCATGAGAACGAAAGGCCAGCCAGGAGGCCTGCAGCAGCAGCAGGCTGGCCCTGGAGGGGTCACCGGTGCTGACTAAACAGGACTGGATACTGCTCTGCCGGCATGAGGATAGTACTGATACCAGGAGTACTGGTGCCTCCTGATAGTACTCAGGCAGGGGACATGGGTCCTGGTCCCCGTGAGTACTCCACAGAGCCCACAAGCTCCTAGTGCCATCCGCTCAGAGCACAGGCACAGTGGAGTGCAGAGGCCCCACAGCGATTCCTACTCACCTCAGGCACCTGAGTGGATCTCTCCTGAACCATCCCAATCTCCCCACTGTAAACACTGCTCAAAAAATCTCCAAGCTTTTCAAACTCAAACCATGTCCTGCTCTTCTCCTTTCCCAGAAGACTGCTACTGGGATGCCCCTGCCACCCACTCCTCTGGTCCCTGTGTGCAGCCTCATCCAGCTCTTCCTGCTCAAGGGCACTCCACAGCCCCACATGTCCTCTGCTCAGGCCCAGAGCTCAGGGCCTTGTGCTCCCCTGGCTGCTCTGGCCCTCCTGCTCTCAGCTCGTGGTCTGCCTACCTGCGACTT